TGGGTAGAGTAGAGGGACAGTGCAGGAGGGGAAGACTCTCTATGAGGTGGATTGATTCAGTGACTGGAGTAATCGGGATGGGTGTGTCAGAGGCAATGAGACTGGCACATGCTAGAGCACGGTTTAGGGCTGTTGTACATAGCGTCGCTATGAGTCGCAAACGACTCGACGGCACATAACAACAGCAACAACAACATGACAACAATCTGAAACAAGAGGTGCATTGCAAAGTGGACTAGGGGAGGAGGCAAAAATGAGGAGAGGAGGAAATGTGTGACAATGAATGTTGCTGTTGTTTTTGTTATGTGCCACTGAGTTGCTTGCAACTCATAGCGACCCTATGTACAACAGCCTTAAACCCTCTTTATCCTGTGTCAGTCTCACTGTCTCTGAAACACCCACCCCAATTATCCCAGTCACTGAATCAATCCACTTCATAGAGAGTCTTCCCCTCCTGTGCTGTCCTTCTACCCTCCCAAGCATGATGTCCCTCTTCAAGAACTGGTCCCTCCTTGCAACATGTCCAAAGTATGTCAAACGAAGCCTCAGAATCCTTGCCTCCAAGGAGCAGCCCGGTTTAACCCTCTCCAGGACAAACTTGTTCATTCTCTTTAGCAGTCATGGTACATTGAGTATTCTTCTCTAGCACTACAGCTCAAAGGCATCAATTCTCCTTTTATCCTCCCTAGTCATTGTCCCACACTCTGATGCATAACAAGTGATTGCAAAGACCATGGCCTGTATCAGGTGCACCTTAGTCTCCAGAGTGAAACCATTGCTCTTCAGTACGTTGTAGGTGTCCCTAACAGCAGACTTTCACATTGTCATATGTCTTTTAATTTCCTGGCTGCTGGTGCCAAGAGTGTTGACTGTGGAGCCAAGCAAACTAAAGTTGTGAACCATCTCAATCTTTTCACCATCCATCCTGATACTGCCAAGTGGTAAGAATCTTTGTCTTCTTGATATTGAGCCTTAACAAATATTCAAGGCTGCAGTCCTTGACCCTCTGCAGCAAGTGCTTCAGGTTCTCCTCAGTTTCAGTAAGCAGGGTTGTGTTATCTGCATTACATAGATTGTTGATGGATCTTCCACCAATCCTGATGCCACACTTCTCCTCGTAGAGCCCAGCCTCCTGTATAATCTGTTCTGCATATAGGTTGAAAAGAATATAGAAGATAGGACACATCCCTGGCATACACTCTTACCAATTTTGAAGCATGCAGTGTTTCTTTGCTCTGTTCTGACAACTGCCTCCTGGACCAAGTATAGGTTTTGCATTATAAATGAATTTAAAAAATTTAAAAATAAAAGACAAAATTCCTTACTACTTGACTGATAAGCGACATCATGAAAGATTAAAAAAAGATTGAATTTGTCAATGATTTCTTCTTACTCGAATCCACAATCAACACCCTGTTAACAGTAGTCAGGAAATGCATTGCAGTGGGTAAATCTGCTGTCAAGGACTTCTCAAAAATGTTGAGGATCAGTAATGTTAATCTGAAGACTAAGATGCTCCTGTTTTAGGTCATGGTCTTTCCAAGTACTTGTTATGTCTCTGAGAGATAGACAATGAATAGAGATTACAGAAGATGAATTGATGCCTTTGAGCTGTAATGTTGGAGAAGAGTACTGAAGTACCTTTGGACTTCCAAAAGAACAAATACATATATTTTGGGGGAAATGCAGTCAAAATGCTCCTTGGAAGAAAGGCAGGTGAAGCTTCATCTCACATATTTTGGGCATGTTGTTAGGAGAGGCTATTCCTTGGAAATGGACATCATACTTGGAAAGATGGAAGGTCTGCAAAAGAAGGTAAGACCCTCAATGAAATGGATTAAACAGTGATTGCAGCAATAGGGTATACTGTATATCATCACAGTATACACAGGCTAGGACAGAGTTCAGATCTGTTGTTCATAGGGTCATACTCAACTCAATGGTAACTAGTCACAACAACAATACTTTGCTAGAAATTAAAACAATGTTTTATGGATGCGATATAATAATTTAAAGATGGACAACATTAATATACATTCACACACATGAAGAATATGGATAATTTTCTGTTACAATTTCAATATGTATTTTTATCCCAACAGAAGCAATCTCTAATTGGGTTACAAAATCACAATGAACAACAATTAAAACTCCTAATAGTTGTAATTTGAGAGTCAAGATGTGAATTAAGGGTTAATATATATACTTAGCTACTACGTTATTTAAAGACTTCAAAGTAATTCAACATTATCAGGGCTATTTTCCTTCTGCTGGCCAAGTGTCTTCTTTGAGGTCAGCTAAATAAACATTCTTAAAAAGCACTAGGTATTTCTTTACCCAGGTTAGAAATTGTAGAAAGAGCAAGGACCGCATAGAAAGAGCAAGGACCGCATCGGGATAGCCATATCTGGCCTTTAGCAATCTTACAAAGGAGAATTATCCCAGTCAACAACATCGACAACACACAATTCCATTGAGGTCAGATATGGCCCCCGTACTCCTGCTCCTCTTTCTACTCATCCCAACACCAATCTTACTGCTTTATTAGATCCAAAATCTGTTGTGATAGCTCGCAGACCACACAGAACCATAGTAAGGGAATAAAAAGGCTAAAATTCAGTGTAGTAGCAGAATACAATAATTCCGGAAAGCTGCTGCTGTGTGCTCATAGGTGGCTCAGCCTTCACCTTTGTAGCTTTGTGTCAGTGTTACAGAACTTTCTCAGCCCTGCAGATTATGGCTCTCTCCTCCCAACTTCCAATACTCTAACAAACTTGAACAAAGGGTCTTAGCTCAGGGTCAATAATGGTAGCGTTTCTAAAGTCAGCTCCCTTACATGACCTCTGATACTCTGCTTCAGCCATGGCTCCTGATGCTCTAGGTCTAATTGATAAGAGAAAATTTCTAGACCCAAAAGGTGCACACTGCTTACCTGCTTCTCCTTTGCAAGTGGTGAGATTCTCTCATTCTGCGACTGGGTCCATTACATTTTAATGACTGTTATTGTTGTTAGGGGCCATCGAATGGCCTGGGACTCAAAGCGACCTCATGTACAATCACTCTGAACCTTTGCTCTATCCTGAGCTAGTCTCACTGATTCCAATACACCTACCCAGTGCAATTGGTCTTTTGATTTCCTAATTGCTGGTGCCAGGAGTTTTGATTGTGAAACTGAGCAAGCTATAATTAACAACCTCAATCTCTTCTCCATCTATAGTGGTGCTACCAATTAGTCCAGTGGTGAGAATTTTCGACCCCACTTACACTCTGACATGAGTCAGGCTTTGCCCCTGGCTTGTGGGTTTACAGCAAACAAGGATCGGCAATGGAAGGAAGTTTTGTTTTGTTTTAGGAAGCATTTTTTTACCACCTCTCCCCAAACACCCTTCCAGCCTGAGGTCCAGCATTCCTGATCCAGTTGAGACAGCACCCTCATCTGAGACATTATCCTGCTGTGACAATCATGTGTCTCAAGTAGAAGGCTCCAGCACCCACTCAGCGTATCTGAGATACCAATTAGAAGGGGAAAAATTGAGTGTAAACAACAAAAAGGAAGAAATAGAGCAGTGAATCATTGCTGACACAGTGAGAAAATTTTAAACTCTTGCAAACAGCATTCGGAATGGCAGGGCATCCTGATAATCAGTTTCTCTTAACCAGGACTGTGGGAGCTTCCACAATGGTGACCAGAAAGGTGCAATCTTCCTCTTATTCAGAGACACCCTCTCAGTGAATAGAAGTGTGACCGTCACCCACTCCATCAGCCAGTGAGTAGTAAACACCCCCCATTGCCCCTGTTCCATTTCTGGTTCTCAGTGCACGTCACAGGATAGTTTTCAGAACAGCTGTTCATAGAGTAGCTATGAGTTATACTAAACTCGACGACATCTAGCAACACTTATGAGAGAGGGGAGGATAGAGGCAGCTGCATTTTTCCCATCTGCTCAACTATTTTTCCAGCTGGTAGTGAAAGGATTACTGAGTCTCACATTCCAGGCTAGTTTGTTAGCTAAGGGTGTTAATCTTTGTAGGGCTTTTGTTATGGTTCTTTCAGAAGCTGTGTTGTTAGGAATGAAGGTACAACACTTGCATCTGAACATTCCCCATCTGCTTCTCTTTTCTGCCAAAATTGCTTTAATGCTGTCCTGTTTTCCCCGGTCATACGACTGGTAGTATTTAACTGGCTAGGGTATTGCTAGGATAGTTTATGAACTTGTTTTGGTTAAAATAAATGTAGTGGATTCCATTTACATTTTTATTTATTGTAGATCACTAGAAAAGTGTACCTTCAAACCCTGTAGGTGTTTGATTCTTAGTTTTAAACTTAGTAGAAACATTTCTAGGAACTTCAAAAGAGCCAATCAATAGAAATATGTGGCTTGAAAGATTTAGGGAGGGATTTTCAGTCCCAGGATCTGTATTATGCTCTGGCCCTATCAGGACGTTAGGATGAAAGGAATTGTTAGCTGAACCAGAGCATACGTACTAGTCCCATTGGATGGCAGAAAATCCTGGAGGTTCCCCTTCATACAATGTTATCACACATCTACCCAAGGTACTCTAAGGACTTAATAATTGGCACTATTAGGTTTGCTAGTGACATTTCTAGTATGAAACCAGGTTGTTAATTTTTTTAAAAAATTAGTATTGTTAACTCTTCTCCTTGCTTTGAGAGGTAAGAAGAGTGGTTTGTTTGTTTCATGGGGAAGCAGAAAACTGCTCTCAGGTCTGACTTCTGCAATGCAGGAAAGAGCAAAGGCAAGCTTCTACAAGTGTCGTTTCCCCAAACATTTTTGTCTTGGTACAGAGCCATCACATAGTGCACTTTATTTGGATATGAATCTCAAGCAAAGGGGTTGTTCCTGAAGGGTTCTTCTATGGGGAAAGGAGAAATGGAGGGGCTTGGAATCAGGGGGAGGTGTGTGTGTGCACGCACGTGCGTGTGTGTGTGTGTGTGTGATGAGTTGGAGTGCAAATCACTCCACAATGTGTTCTTCAGAGATGTTTGCACCCATCCCATGAATTTGAGTTACCACTACTGGCTCCTTATTCTCTGGTTGGGAAATTGAGATATGAACTGTTCTGCACTGGAGGGTTTGGCAGTTAGAGGGAGGAGGTCTCTTAAAAAATGAATTTTGTCTTTTAAGTGACCCGCATATCTGGATGTTTACTTTTTAAATTGTGTGTTCTACTAAGACTCTCAACCAGATGGATTGACACAGTGACTGCAACAACAGACTCAAGTGTGTCAGAGATTGTGAGGAAGGCCCAGGGTAACACAGGGTTCAGATCAGTTGTTTATAGGGTTATGTTGGATGGTACTCGACATGACAACACCTAACAACAACAACAACAACAACAACAACAACAACACACATGACTCCAGGAGGGGCAGAGTGAAATGTCCTATGAACTTTTTTCGTAGAGGAAGGGGGGAAATCAAAAGAAATAAACAAAAATAGACTATTTGTAGGGGAAAATTGGGGAGGAAAGGAGGGTCTCTGGCCAGGACAGATCACCTAGCTCCAGATAAGTGCAAACCTCACAACGGCCTTTAATATGAGATAGAGAAAGCTCCCCTGTGTTTGGCCATACCAGCTTGAGAAAGCTTGCCACCTGGGAAGATGGGTGCCGCATCTGTTGAGCTGGGAGTAGTCTGCACGGGGCTGGGGTTCTCCCATCCAGTCTGCATGTCCCATGTCTGCAAGCCCACCCTAT